CCACTCCCCCTGCTTGTATTCCTGCTCTCGCTCTCTCTCTCTCTGTCAAACAAATAAATAAAAATCTTTAAAATAAATAAATAAAATAAAAATTGTAGTTGTTTTTATAAGAAAACTCCTTATTGTTAAGTCAGATGAGATTAAAACAATTTAATCCAGTTCACCAATTGTAGGACACACAGGTTTTTCCCATTTTCATATCTGAAATCAGGGTGCCTCAATGGCATGCCAGTGTTTTTCTTCTTCTTAATAGTTCTATAGAATAATGGTACTTCTTACATTCGCTGGTGTTTTAAAGGAAGAATGGTAATTAGGTAGCAGTGTTTGAAGTGCTACAGAGAGACCTGTTTTAAGTGCTCTTGGATTGTGTCTGAAAAGCCTGAACATGACAGCTGGTTCCATGAGGTCTGACGAGGACAATTCCCCACTGGTCTGTTCCCAGTCTCAGACTTGAACTTGTGAGCTACTATTTCTATGAAATCTATTTGGAAAGGGTGTGTTGAACCTTTTAAAGCTCACTGAGGTTACACAGAGCACAGCTGATAATTCAATAGCCTGGAGCATTTAGCACCGCACAGCATACATGAGGTGAATGTATGTTGTTTTGAAGAGGGGATTTTGGAGGGTGGGTGTAATCCCTCCTCTTAATTCTGTTGGTTCTTTCCCGATGTGTAGACTGCTCCTTTCTCTCCAGGGCTGTTTGAGGGCTGGATGGGCTGTTGCGTGGAAAATACCTGGCACGTATTGAACACAGTATATAACAGCAGGTTGGACTCTGTCTTCTTGGCAACTGTGCCTAGTCTTTTTCTCTCTGTCTTTCAGTCTAATAAAGTTCCTGTTGTTCAGCCCCCGCATCACATGCACCCGTTGACGCCCCTCATCACCTACAGCAACGACCACTTCTCCCCTGGCTCCCCTCCCACGCACCTCTCCCCAGAGATCGATCCAAAGACAGGTGAGTCATCCAACGCTCAGGCTGGCCCCCATGCAGAGCTCCAGTGGGCCAGGCTTGTCTTCTCGGGGAACATCACGGCCCTGGAATCAGGCAGCCCTGGCTTCAGGTCATGTCTCCAACTCCCAAGAGCCCATTACCTTGCCCACCAACGTTAGCCTTTTCATATTTTTCATCTGTGTTTCCTGTGTCCCTTTCACATCGTAGAGGCATTGTGAGGATAAAAGGAAATTATATGAGGCAATGCACAGGGCCTGGCTCCACAGTGGAGAATCTCTTAATACTTTGGGGGTGGACTGAGCTGGACGTGGCGGGAAATCTTCTGCATTGACCTTGAAGTCTAGCCCAGCTGTGGGCTGTGTCTCTGTGCCTCCCTTAACCAAGACCTTTGCCTTATACTGAACATTTTCAAAAGTAACCAGTCTGACCCGTCTTCTAAGTATAGCTGTAAAGCACTAAGGTTGAGCTGGCTTTTATTTATTTTTTTTAACTTGTTCACCAGAGCTGTCCATCCCAGGGAGACATAGCCTCATCAAATTCCCAGAGTGGTCATGGCTCAAAGCATTTTTGGAGCCCCTGTTTAAAGAGAAATCACAGTTACTGTAAGTTACAGATAATGAGGAGGACAAATGTGGCATAGAAATGCAAAGTTTACTTCTCCATGAATGGGGTAGGTTCTGAAGAGGAGGAGGAGTTAGCAGATGACTCGGGGGATATCTTGGGTCTCTCAGTCCAGGATTTCGAGGCCCTTTCTTGGATGACTCCTGTATAAGCAGCTGGAAATTACTCCTAATGACAGAGGTGGGATCCAGGTAGCCAGAGAGAAGCCGTGTTATCCTGCCTTCCCTGAAAATGTCCTTGACCCCAGCAGAGCTGGGGAGGTGACAGGGCCAGGGTACTGAAAGAAAGGCCTTCCAAGCTCCAGCACGCCTGGGGACATAGGGCAAGGGACTTCCAGTTTGGTGTTAGTTCCAGGTGCTGTGGTAGGGCCAAGGAACAGACTGACACGTGTCTCTTTGAAGCAGGAATCCCCCGGCCCCCTCACCCATCCGAGCTGTCTCCATATTACCCACTGTCTCCTGGAGCTGTTGGACAAATCCCCCATCCCCTCGGCTGGCTCGTCCCACAGTAAGGAAACTCACCGCCTTCCTTCCTTATGCCGAGCTCTGCCTCCTGTACCTGCAGCACCCCCACCCCCCACAGTGGGGTCTTCTCCCCAAAGCCCACGGCTCTTACTCGCACTTCCTCCTTCCTGCCCTTTATCATGCTTTCTTCCCAGCCCGCTCTCCTTCCCTGTCCTGAACAGTCCCACCATAGCCAGTGTGCTGACCAGATGTCCTTACTCCTGGCCCTTCTAGGCAAGGACAGCCCATGTACTCCCTCCCTCCTGGTGGCTTCCGGCACCCCTACCCTGCCCTCGCCATGAACGCCTCAATGTCCAGGTGAGTCCCGGGACTGGGTCTGGGAGCGTGACGTGGCCTTGTAGAGAATGGCCCTCTACGAGTGTCCTTGCCATTTCTGACCATTCAAAAAGCTTTCTCTGGCCCTAAACTAGGAGGCATGGGCTCACCTTTCCTCCCCACCCCTCTTTGCTAAGGGACCTCCTCGTGCCCCGTGGTCGGAGTGGAGGCCACAGACTCGGCCTCACTCCTTCCCCACCTCTCTAAGGGAAGAATTTCAAGGCCCTAGCCCTTAGCCTCCCACCACGTCCCCCCCACGTGCCAGGCTTCGTGGCACTGAAGCCAGGGGCTGGGAGAAGATGACTTTTTCCTGAAACGATGTCAGGAGAGGGAACAGTAAAGGGGGCTTCTGTCTCAGGGGCCAGATCTACGTGACAGTGGCACCTCTGGTGACAAAGGAGGTGCAAGCCCCAGCATACGCCCTTATTTCCCCACTGTGCCCCCTGGCCTCTGGCCTGCTCCACCTTCTTTTGCGTTTGGTTTTCATCCTACCCGCTTCCAGCATCAGATAGAGGAGGCCTGCGCATTTGTGCGGGAAGGGAGGTTTGTCGGGTGCTCGCGGGCCCGTGAACGCGCTCCCAGTCCTCAGAGGCTGCCCTGGCAGAGGCGTTTGCCCAGCTCTGCCGCCAGGGCAGGCGGCCACCGCGTCCTCTGCCAGGTGACAAGCATTCAGCCCGAACCCCTGTGTCGTCCCTTGTTTCCCACATGGTACACAGCCTGGTTTCCAGCCGGTTCTCTCCTCACATGGTGGCTCCGGCCCACCCTGGTCTGCCCACCTCAGGGATCCCCCACCCCGCCATCGTCCCCCCCATCGTCAAGCAGGAGCCGGCGCCCCCCAGCCTCAGCCCGGCCATGAGCGCGTGAGTATCAGGCGGCCTGGGTGCGGGGCGGCTGGTGTCTGAGCAGCAAACGCCGTGTACTTGGCCCCCCCGGGGGCCTTTAGCAGGCGGCCAGCAGCCTCCCTCCGCAGCATCCTCCTCTCTCCTGGGGATTGCTCCCACGCTCGCTGAGAGCCCCCTTTGCGCACAGTCAGGGGAGTTTGACGGGATTTGGGGGCCGAAAGAGAACCCGGGAGCGCTTTTGGCTTCCTTCCCCCTCCCCCACACAGGGGAAAATGTGAGCCCTGAAGGGAGGAATTTCGCCAGGTCACACTGTCACCAAGGCCAGGGCTTTGTCCGCTGAGCCATACAGCCAGCGGGAAAGCCCAAGTTAGCACCCCCTGGCGCAGGAGACCCCCTCTTGCTTCTGCCCCCTCCCTGTCACCTGTGGCCGGCGCCCCTCCCCACCACCTCTGCTCCTTCCTCAGGGAACTAGCCCCTCACAGGACACGGCCTGAGGCCATCCCGCGGCTGGGAGCCGCTCATGGGGGTGCTCAGGTGCTGCGAGCAGCCTGACCGGCCGAGCGCCCGAGCAGCTCCTGGCCGCTCGCCGGGGGCAGGCGGCCCTTGGCCTCAGCGAGGGGCGGGGGTCGCGGCCCGGGTGGCCACCGACGCGCGCTAACCGCCAGCTTTGTGCCTTCCCAGGAAATCACCCGTCACGGTGAAAAAGGAGGAAGAAAAGAAACCCCACGTGAAGAAGCCTCTGAACGCCTTCATGTTGTATATGAAGGAGATGAGGGCCAAGGTGGTGGCTGAGTGCACCCTGAAGGAAAGCGCGGCCATTAACCAAATCCTGGGAAGGAAGGTAAGGCCCGCTCTCGGCCCGGGCCGCGGGGGCGGCGTCCCCTGCACTCCTCGCTCCCTGTCACCTCTGACCCTCTCTCCGCAGTGGCACAACCTGTCCCGAGAAGAACAGGCCAAGTACTACGAACTGGCCCGGAAGGAGCGGCAGCTTCACTCGCAGCTCTACCCGACCTGGTCAGCCCGGGACAACTACGTAAGTGGCGCGGCGGGCCCGGAGAGCAGCCTCGGGGAGCAGGAGGCGGCCCCGCTTCCGGAGGCCTCTTAGGGCCCGGGAGGAGGCTGTCTTTCGCCTTCCGTTCTCAGGAGATCAGCAAGGACGTGGCTTTGGCGTCCTAAGGACCGACGTGAATTTGTACCCCTCTCATTTGAAGTGGACTCAGCCCTTGATTCTATAATTCAGGACGCCGCGCGAGCTGTGTCCGGGCTCTGGTTGGGGGGGGCGGGTGTTGCGGGCCCAAGGGCTCCGAACCTGGGGCTCAGAGAGCGATGTGGAGCCCCGGCTGGCATTGCTAATAACTCCTCGAAAGTAGACAGGTTTTTGTATGTCTGTTCTCATTTGCTTTTTATTTCTGGTAAGAGGCTTCAGAGCTGTCTTAGATTTTCGGTGGGGCCTGAGTCCTCTCAGAAAAGATCAAGAACCACACTGCTCCAGGGCGGGAAATGGAAAAATAAGCCCGCGGGCACTGAAGGGATGAGGCCTTCCAAGAAGGCCAGGACCCCGGGTTGGAGGGAAGAATCGAGTGGGGACGGGAGGGCACCTTCCAGCAAGGCTCATTCTGCCTCCTCAGAGGCTTCCGTGGGTGCGTGACCCGAGCAGCTCCCCTCCGCCGCCGGCTCCCTCCCCCAGGGAGGGGCAGGGGCAGTATGGGCCATATCCTGTCCTCCCCCACTTCGGGTCTGGGAGTCCCCCCGAAAAGCCAGTCATTCTGCCCCTTGGTTACCCTTTCTGTGGCCATAATTTTCAGGGTAAGAAAAAGAAGAGGAAGAGAGAAAAACAGCTGTCACAGACACAGTCCCAGCAGCAAGTCCAAGAGGCAGAGGGTGAGTGAGTCCTTAGGAGGGCACCGGCTCTTCTAACTGCCATCACAGCGGCACCTGTCGTGCATCGTTCCGGGGTCTCTGTAGGGTTCAGCGACAGCGCTGTTTGATCGTAGCCACCATTCTCAGGGCCTCTGCCTCATGGGAGCCTCCTGCATACTCGGGTGGGTGTTATTATCGCCCCCTTTTATTTATTTAAAGATTTTTAAAATTTATTTGACAGAGAGAGACACAGCAAGAGAGGGAACACAAGCAGGGGGAGGGGCAGAGGGAGAAGCAGACCCCCCGCTGAGCAGGGAGCCCGATGCGGGACTCGATCCCGGGACTCCAGGATCATGACCTGAGCCGAAGGCAGCCGCTTAACCGACTGAGCCACCCAGGGGCCCCATCACCCCCTTTTAGAGATGACGAATAAAGAGGCTCAGAGAGGGTGGACCTTCCCAGTCACTCTGCTTGTTAAATGGCAGAGGCAGGATTTGATGCCACCACTTTCCCACGTCAAAATGTAGGCACTTTTCAATTCATTTGAGTTGCATCTTATTTGAGGGTTCTAAAAATCGATGTACCAGGCAAAAATGAATGGTATCTGCAATTATCTTTGAAATTCCCTCAGGAGCGGGGCACGTGAGAGATGGACATGCCACCTATTCGTGAACCAAATAGAAGCAGGTGTTCCTCCAAGGTTGGGTTGGTTGAACACCCAAGGAAATACTTTGCTTGGTTTCGGGGTCACTTTGTGCCAAAATTATGTACTGCGTCTTTTCACACCGGAATCTCACCTAGCATGGTGACCTCTCATCTCGTGCTCACTCTGGACATTACAGAACTGCTGGTACCAGCTAAAGTGCTTTTAATCTCTTTTCTCTCTCTCCCTCTCTCTCCCTCTCTCTCCCTCTCTCTCCCTCTCCGTCATCGATGTGATTTGTATATTTATTTACGTAGGCGTACACATAAGTGAAGGATGTACGTGCTGCACGGTCCCTTGTATACCTCCCCGCTCCGCAGGTGCTGTGCTATCTCCCATAGCACCACAAGCCAGAGATTTTAAAGCAAATCGAATGGAGATCCGTCTCCAAAAGGCTGAGATTTAGGCAGGGAAGGGGATGATGTGATAGCCTGAGTTCTCTTCCCTCCTATCAGATACCGAATAGGTCTTTGGCATTTTGGCATTGCCCCTTCTCAATGCTCTAGGTGTCCCCAGTGTGGCTTCCTCATCTTGAAAGCCTGGATTTCGGGCCCCTGCCCTTCCCTCCCAGTAGGCGTTCTTGTGTTCCGCCTCACCCCCAGTACTCGCTGCTCAGTCTTTCTTGTGTTTTGTCCCCATAGGTGCTCTGGCCTCCAAAAGCAAGAAGCCATGTGTTCAGTACCTGCCCCCTGAGAAGTCCTGTGACAGCCCTGCCTCTTCCCACGGCAGCATGCTGGACTCCCCGGCCACCCCCTCCGCAGCCTTGGCGTCCCCGGCTGCCCCCGCGGCGACGCACTCGGAGCAAGCCCAGCCCCTCTCCCTCACCACCAAGCCGGAGAGCCGGGCCCAGCTGGCTTTACACTCGGCTGCCTTCCTGTCAGCCAAGGCGACAGCCACTTCCTCCGGCCAGATGGGCAGCCAGCCCCCGCTCCTCTCCCGGCCGCTCCCCCTCGGGTCCCTGCCCACAGCTCTGCTGACTTCTCCCCCCTCCTTCCCGGCCGCGCTCCATGCCCACCAGGCCCTCCCAGTCCTCCAGGCCCAGCCTCTTTCCTTGGTCACCAAGTCTGCCCACTGAGCTGCCCCCTGACCTATGCAGGCTGTCAAGTGACTCGTTGAGTAGTAATGATTCAGAAGAAAAAAGAAAAAAAAAAAGGAAACTTTATTGGTCAATATTTGACCACTCTGGACTGTTCTGTAAAGTGACTGGTAGCAACAGCACTTTACGTTTTGTAGATGTAACCAGTAGCTGATCTTAAGGCTTTTTTAAAAAACAAAACAAAACAACAAAAAAAAAATCTTTAAAAGAAAGAGAACTGAAAAGTAGTGTGTTATTCTTCTTCCTGTACGTGCAGTGGTGGATGGACCTGGGCAGAAGACCCCTTCCTCTCTACCTCTTTCCCTTTCTGCCCTGCTCCCCCTTCTCAGCGCTCCCACGTGCCCCCCTCCCCTTCCTGGTCCACATGTCGGCCATGGCTGGACTTCTAGCCTGTTACCTCTTCCTCTAGATCCCATTCCTGGACATTCCCTTTGACCTCACCAAGTTTTTCTCCTTCGCCCAACTGCCTTCATCTTCGTCCTCTGCCCAGTGTAAGACTGTCATCACATGAGAAGCCACCTTTGCCTGATTTGTCTTCACCAGCGTCCCCTTTCCCTCAGTGGGCCCTCACACAACAGCCTCCAGCTCTGGGTGGGCAAAGAGGTCCTCTGAAATGGTTCTTTCCCACATTGAAAGGGATTCAAGGTGCCCGCCACTTTCTCGGTGAAGAAGTCTCTGTGCCACCCCCTCACCAGTCAAGACCTCCCTTCACTGTCCCAGAGTGGCAGATGGGACCCGGCCCCAAGGCCTGGCTCTTGTCCCCTGGGTCAGTGCTAGCACAATCTGCCAAAGGTCTAAACGCCCTCCTCCCTCCCCCTATCACCTCACATGCTTCTTCTGTGTGTATTTCTTTTTGTTTTTATGGGGTTTTTTGGAGCAATTTAAACTTCCAGTTGTTTATTTTCACAAAAGAAAATAAAATTGCAGTTGCAAGACCTTTTCTGAGTATTTCAATCCTTTTGTTGAATCAAGCCCCCATCTTCATAGCAAGCCCTGTGCTAGATTTTTGCAGGGGGTTGGAGAGGAGAATACGAAAACATGCCTGACAAAAATTCAACCCAACTTCCAGCCTCAAATGTACAGAGACCCGTCAATATCGATAACTGAGATCCAAAGAGAGTAATCTTTATTTTTCTTTGTTTTCTTATAATTGCCAGGATGTAAAGGGCATCCTTTGGTTGTTTTGCATGGTACCTAGCGCGGCAGTTTCTTTTATAACAGCCTTACTGAGCTATAATTCACATAACATGCAATTTACCCATTTAAAGTGTACAATTCAGTAGGTTTCCGTATGTTCAAGTTGTGTATCCATAATCACAGTCAACTTTAGAACATTTTCATCACCTTGAAAAGGAACCCCAGACCCTTTAGAAGTCACCCCCATTTCTTGCCTTCACACCCTGCAGTCCCAGGCAACAACTAATCTATTTTCTGTCTCTGGATTTGTCTATCCTGGACACGTCACTTAAATGGAATCATATAGGGGCTGCCTGGCTGACTCAGTTGGAAGAGCATGCAACTCCTGACCTCTGGGTGGTGAGTTCAAGCCCCACATTGGGTGTAGAGATGACTTAAATAAATAAAACTTT